ATTTACGCGACAACAATACACTAAAAATTACCTCTAGTTCGTTTTTCTCAGTTCAATAATATGTATTAATTTTTTAACATTAGGTAGCGTATACTTCGATGTACCGTAGGCTTTGCGACGCCATATTGCCGCTTCCGGCACCGTAGAGTGTACTCCGCTCCCTCGGGTGCTTTCGAGAATGATCTACACCATCTTATCTTGTGACCTTCAGCAGTTGACGCTGCGAGCCATCCGACTGAGTCGTGCGCTCTGAACTTATTAGATACCCAGGCACCTCACGCGTCGCTGCGCATCTCACAAGTCATGTAACACGTACACGGTTGGCTCCGGGGAATTGTAACGTCCTCTACAATAGTTGCGTCGTGCTGTAGAAAAAGCTATATATCCATATTCCCTCGCGACACGGGGGAGTAGAGACTGGCTCAGCTTTGCTAAGCGTTGTATTGCGGTAGGCCTACCAGATGCCGAGAAAGGAAGGCAGAGTCACGCGTTCGATGGCGCCCGTCAGCGAGACCTTTGTCTCCGTTCAAACTCAAAAACGTTTTCTTTTTTTTTTTTTTTTGGGGGGGGGGGGGTAGAAATGAGGGGGGGGGGGGCGGGAGCGGTGGGACTACGGGAGCATATGCTTCAATGGTTGTGATCCTTGAAGCTGGAGATAAGTCGCGGAAAACAGCTGAATAGTCCAATCATTGTCCACTTCGACACCCTTCTCGGGCATCGCCATGTTGCTGTGAATTTCTATTACTTCGTGCTATATTGGTGAGTCGCTAGAGACTGTAGCAAATAAGATACGCTAGCGTTGTTTCCGCCATGGGGTCATTCTGTCACGATTCGAACCAAAAATATATAAGTTTTGATTTTTCGCATTCTATTCATAATGTTTAAAAATGCAACATATCGTATATTTAAACTGACGTGCGACCAAGTATCAGTCAATTGCAATCGTTCAATTCTATCGAACTGTATGGCACTCCCGTTATGTCTCTGCTTCACCACAACATACCACGAAGTTCACTAGCGTTGACGATTGTGTAAGTTGGTATTTCACGTTCAAAAATTAGACAGATAAAGCGGCGCTGTTGTTCGTCTACCTTCACGTACTGGTGCGTAGCTCTGTGCTAATTTTAATATTTAATTATTCGCAACTCCAGCCCGCTGCTTTCCCCCTCGTGGACGAACGAAAAAACAGAAAAGAGGGGACGGTCAAGGAAATGGTGACAGGGACTTGTGGCCTTCGTGCTGCTTTTACCGCATGGTTTTGGTCGGTGTGTCTGTGCATCATGTAGTTTTAATGAAAAAAAAAACACAAAACGAGCGTGTTAAAGTAGAAATTGTTGTTCCACTCTGCGGCTTTTAAAAAAGTCGCCATGCTCTTTTTATTAACCCATATCAACATATCCGTTCCCTGTGATATGCTGTTCCCCTGACCGCTTCGCATTTTTAGTCAAATGAATTAATTTTAACTTACTGGCCAGCGCCAGCGAGCAGGTGCACAGGAAATTCTGGAGAATCTATACCCGTCATTTGCGCCATCTTGCAACTACTCCCCGCCATCTAGAGGGTGTTAGACTTGCGAATATCCCAAAAGTGAAGCATTATATCACTTTTAGCAGCGTCACAGCAGATGGCCGTGAGAAATACCCGTAGACGAACTTTCAATATTTCAGATCTCGAGAGAGAGAGCTGTAATTATTGTTTATCTGAATATTTTGCCCGGCCTGTACTTCACCTCTCTGTCAGGTTCTCCTTTTATATGTTAATAATATGCTCACGCTTTACATATTTTATATCAATTGGCAGCTTGTACTGCTTTTGAGCCCTGATTGTATTTAAGAAGTTAAAAGTGAGCTGTATCATAACTTTATCACAAAAAGAAACCGTGAGGTTTTTCTGAAGAACAAAGTTTACGAAGAAATAACGTAAAAGTGGTTCAACGCTGGTTGTTTATAAGCCGATCGGGACGGTGCTACGCCTGGCGGCGCCAATAATTAGTATGTCCATAACCAATTTCGTCCGCTCACTGCACCCGGTAGAATCGTCGGTCAATTTTGTTATTTTAAACAAAGAAAATACGCAAAGTGTAAAACGTGAACTCTTTTTGATATAACTTTACACAACAAAATTTCACATTAATATTCTTTTTTTCTTTTTGCATCCCACACCAAATATTTGGACAATATAATCGCAAAACGTGACATTTTACTAAAACCAAACTGATATCCTTTTTTTGCTACACAAAAGGTACCACCGCGTGAAACGATAAATCCACTACACACAGCAGGTAAATTCAAATAACAACACTGTGTCATGTGGCTATTTACATCTGTTCTGCACTTTTTCAACTTGTAACCAGAAACATTAGCCCGAGCGCGGACTTTTGCGCCAACATTGCTCCTACTAGGTTACACCACACCCGGAACTCCACCTGTACAGGAGCCGTCCATAGGCCACACCTTCTATATAACAAGGCCATTGTGTTGGGTTCTTTACGTCACCAACCGAAGGCTGTGAGGATGAAGGCTGCGTCAGCGTTCGACTAAGGCTCGTGTCCTCAATGAATGGACACGCGTCTCAGCCAAACATAACAGACGTGTCCAATTCCTTCCCCGTGCTGGTCTCGGGTTTGTCGTAACGAACCCAACGCAACCGCCTTGCTATTTAGGAGGCGTTGCTCTAGGGTAGCTATAGTTCTTGAGTGTGGGAATGATGGTGCGCACGCGCGTGCTCTTGATTGAACAAACAGAGCCAGGGTTCACTTATCATGAGACCTCGCGTGAGGCAGGCAACCCTTTTTGCCACTTGCTTCATACATTTCAATGTCGACTTTGTTCACCTGGGGGATCGGTGCCGAGTGGGCTAGCGCACACAAGCTCGGAGCACGTGGAGCGAAAGCTCGCGCTCCAGTACCCAGGGGCCCTGGCCTCAGTCGGCACCCCTGCCGGTTTTGATCTGAGCGACCATCGTACCGTCGTGCGGTCAAGTATTACGACTGCGTGGTGCACGATAAAAATCGTAGGCTTGTGGTTGTACTGCACTGGCAATATTGCTCATCTACAGCTGAGACAACAGACGCCCATTGAGGCTTACTAACGTCCGGCTGTATAACCATATACACAACACAATTACAATTACATTATAATTAGTTCCCGACTCCGGGTAGCTTACGTCTTCCTCCTTTGTAACGACAGCGACTGCGTCCGCGGGGCTCTGATTTTACGGAGGTGAGAACTCGCTATTTCCCTTCGACGCGCCACCTCAGAAAGATGGCTGAGCTGAATATTACGGGGGCCATGAGGGGAGATGCGCATCGGCGGATTCGGCAGAGGGATGAGACGGCGGTTGCGGGCTATTTACCATCACTCGGCAGGGATCTGGTGGCGGGTATTTTTTCGTAAAAGAGTAGAGGAGGGATCGTGGCGCTTCCCCCTAATCTAGGTGTCAAATTAGGTGTGGTTCCTCATCAAAGAACTGATTCAAACATGCAGTTAGGAGTCATTAGAAACTTCGAAAATGTTTGGAATTTAAAATTTAGGCGACTCTATTCTGCCAGAGAAATTGAAGTCAGATGGTACTCAAGGTCCTCTAACTCAAATGGCTGTTTATAAACCCTACAGGAGAAGGACATATAACACAAATGAAGCCAATTTAAAAACACGTTAGTAACGTTATCAGATGCAGGCACCTAAACTTTCTAAAGAAGCAACAGAATTACTGAAGGCGACTGTGATATTTTGGTACCACACTAATCATCCGGGCTTCTATGCTGGATATATTGTAGCATTATATGTGCTGTTGTTGTTCTTTGTGGGTTTTATGGCGAGGAACTCCTACAGTCATACAGCGCCAAACTAGGTAAGCTAAAAAAAAGTAAATGTAGACTAAAGCTAGACTAGAACATGGCTATATTTTGTGTAAAATACGTGTAGTTTTGAGATAAGCTAAAATATATTCAAATGATATGGGAGGCTGCTCCCCTAGAAACAAAAGGACAGGAAGAAATGGGATGTTGTACTTCAAAAACTCAGGGAAATGAGACTTGTATTGCTGTAGAATGCCATGCCAAAAAAAGAAAACATGCACAACAGATAGTTTCTCCACAGTTTTCACACAGCGGCAGTACCTCACCTATATGCAGGTATTGATAAGTAAGGCTCGAGTGGGCTAATTCTTAAGCGGCAAAGGATGACTTCGTGGAAAAGATTTTTATTAAAGGAAGATTCGGACCTACCAAGATCTTGTTCGATGGCATGAAGCTTGTTATTATCGGCTAAGTCCCATTCAGATTGCCATAGTTGTAAAAGTTAAACTCTTAAAGACATTTGAAGGTCTTGGTAAGGTATGCGGACATTCTATGGTAAAAGGTTCTGCGAAGAGGCGGCTAGTCTAGCTACAGCCTCGTTGCCTGCGAGGTCCAGATGGCTCGAGGTCCAGCTAAACTTAATATCATCCCCACCCATCGGTCTCTACTGAACCTTGGTGAGTCAACTTATTATTTTTTTCTTATTTTTCTAGACTCTCAAAGTGTAAAAACAATTTCAAAGTCTAGTAAAAGAATAACTTTAATCACTTTGCTCCTGATTATATAGTCAAGTGCTGCCATAGTACCATTCAATTCGGCAGTAGAACAGCTGGGAACATTGTTAAGCCGAGTCACATTGGTACCTGAATGTGCATAAACTCCCTATCCAACATACATTGAGGGTTTGACTAAAAGCCCGAGACTGAGAAAGAAGGGACAGACAAACACAAGGTTTCAAACACAGCTGAAATTAATTCGTCTACTAAAGGGATTATGGGTCTAATAAAACTCGTCACAAACACGGTCGTCACTGGCCGACAAGTCATAGGTGAACTCGTTAAGGAGGCCAACTCGTCAAAGGGCATCTCCTGCAAAAAATTGTCGTCGCCCCGGAATAATCGTCACAAGGAACACTCGTGTTACGGCGTGGAGTTTGACTGTAAAACTAGGAATTTATTTCTGTTTATTCCTATGAATTATCTTACACAACGTGTTGGCAGCTGTGATCAAAATATGTCGCTGAAATTGAAATAAATATAACCAGATGAAACGACACGGTTAAGAAAGAACGAACGAATGAATAATGCAATTTTATTGAACTTGCACTGGCCATTACAACATGCAACTAAAAATCGGATATTCCTAGCAATATTTCGAAACATGCTGAGGGCAGATCCGGTGAAGAGCTCGTCTAGAATTCTAGATATGCGCTCATTCACATCTTTATATTTCTGTGCGAGAGGCGGCGGCGGTTGTCCAGCGTCTTGCTGGGTCATCTTTAGTTCTCGTAGTGCTTGTTCATCCTTCAGACACATCAGGAAGGCCCAGAGGTTGGGAAGACACCAGTCGACGTTGGACTGCAGCAAGAAACAAAAAGAAAATGCAGATTAACATAAAATTTTCCGGAAAATGCTGACTACCATATTAAAACAGTTAGGACCAAAGCAACCTTAACGCACCTGGATGCCTTGATGCCAAGCTTCGAGAGCGTTGTTCGTGCGTGGCATATCTTGCTGCACCGCATCAGGCACAGACCATAGGCTTGGTGAGAATATAGCTGTGTGAAGTCCATTTTGTCTTCGGCGACCAACGTAGGTGTCTTCGAAGTACGTGGCCAGATCGGTGGACTCACTGGGAAGGACTTCGAAGAGCGCGTCAAAGGCATCTCGAACCTGTGCAGGTGGCAGGAACGCCAACGTGGGTAACATTTAAATCTAGAAAAGGCAATACTTATTGGCATATACGCCGATAGAATATTTTATTGGTTTCACATGCACCTTTATTATTTTGGAATTATATGTACTTTTAAACCTTAGATTTTCGGCGTTTGAATAAAACAGGCTGCAACACAACTGGTTGTTTTTGCACCAAATATATGCAATAAGATAATAATCCATATATGGAGATGAACGAACTGTACGGATTAAATGAAATAAGTAATGACAAAGCGTAGAAGAGTTCATAAAGGAATGAAAACTTCGACGTTTAACGTCGTTTCGGCGATCGGGCATGGTAATAAAAATAAATTTGTAAAAATATGCTACAGCCTATGATGTCCCAAAAAAGGAATGCATATTTCGGGAAGGCTTCATGACATGGTAAGCTGAATAAAGTAACATAGTGTCACCGTTGTCACGAAAGACGAATCATGAGGTGGAGAATATCTGAAAGAACTAAACGCTTAAAGGGTTACTCCGCCGATTTCTTCATGGTCCCCGATTTCCTTGAAATTTTGCTGAACTCGCCAAACAACATCGCCAAAATAGTATCCCAAATATTAGGTCAAAATAATTTTTTTTCACGAAGTTATTGAATTTACAATTTTGGTCCTCACCGTGTTTTTCAAACTGAAAGTCTCTACTGGCAACAACGAAAAAGTGACGTCAGTGGAAGTGCAGGGGTTCACTCTTTGGACTGTAGAATTTGTTCCCAGCTGATTCGAAGCAGTTTCATGGTGTCAAATGAATGCTTTGGAAGCTCGCTCCAGTCCCCGCGCTGAAGCACGGAACAAATGATGGGCATATTCTGTTTTAGACTGCTCGCCCGACTGGCAAGCTGGCCTTCCACTGACGTCACGGCACTGAAAAGTTCGGGTATATTTGAATGTTGGTTTTTGCATCGTTTTCATTTGCCGATTTCGAAATAACTATTATGAATTTGACGATACTAAATAGCATACCAGAAAGGATAAAGGCCGGGGAGTCAGAAAATATAGTTAGTTGAGGTAGCTCAAAATCGGCGGGGTACCCCTTTAATGGGGCAAACATCTGCCCCCCCCCCCCCCCCCCCCGCCCCCCGCCCAAAAAAAAAGTAGAGAAAGGCTAGCGTCCCATGTTGTTGTCAGCGAAACAACAAGATTGAGCGCTGGGGCGATACCGCTGGCGGCCCGGCACGCGGAGCCCCTTTGTACACGCGTGGGCTTCTGGAACAATCGGCGTAGAAGGTTCGGCGTGCACGACATTCGTACCTTGAACAAGCAGCAGTATTCTCGGTTTTACTAGAACACTAAATTGCCAGAATAAACAAAAGACGCGTCGCTTCCAAGAATTGAGCCCTGGCTCTTCGCGTGGGAGGCAAGCACGATAGCCGTTAGCCCACGGCCACGTAGCCTACTTGGGCAGCTGCGCATGCGGCACTGTTCCACCCTTTAAGAAGTGCATCACCTCGATGCAACACAAAAATAATCAAAGCAGATAAAAAGAAAGGCAAATTAAACAGTCGTTTGGAACACATAAGGTCCACAGTTTTATCGAGCGTAGTAGGGCTTCAGGCGGAGGAGTGGACGACTTCAGGTCGTGGTGGGCGGCGGTATGATGTTCGTGTTCCGTCGGGCATCACCTCGTAGTTCATATCTCCAATTCGACGAAGTGCCTTGAACGGTCAAAAATACCGTCTCAGGAGTTATTCGCTGAGACCACGGCGGCAAATCGGTGTCCAGACCCTTACCCTGTCTCTCGGCTGGAAGAGGACGTTCCGACGACGAAGGTTGTAGCGGCCAGAGTCGACACGTTGTCCGGGCACGCCCTTGTGGGGTTTACGAGGCACTGGCCCCGGTAAAAAAAATCACGGCATGTATACAGCTCGAGCTTACCAGAAATATAAGGCTGTACCTAAGTCTGGTTCTTGGATTTCTAGCAGGTGAGCCGTTCTGCACGTACTTGATGGCCTGCAACAACGTGTCGTCCGTCTGTTTTCATCAAGCCTTCCAGTCGCTACGCGGACATAAATGCTTCGTCTACGTGGTGCAACGTCAGCACGAATTCCGGGAGCTCCTCTTCTCTTGGTGGTCCTTGCCGTGGAAGAGACATTCCATTCAGCGTGTCAGCGTTTCAGTTTTGTTTTCGCGGTCGAAATTTTATTTTGTACCGAAAACCGCTGAGCAGAAGAGCCGACTTTTGAATCCGTCCAGACTCCAGTAGCGGAATAGGCCGAACTTATCGTAGCAGACCCACCAGTGGTTGATGGTCCGTGACTAATCCGAATTTGCGTCCCAGTAAATAATCATAGAACCTGATTACGCCAAAGATCAACGCAAGTGCCTCCTTTTCTAGTTGGGAATAGTTTTTTTTCGGCGGAGGTCAATGTCCTTGATCGAAGAGCTATCGGCGTATAGACGCCCCGGATCTTGTGCGATAGCACCGCGCCTACTCCTGTTGGAAACGCGTCACGTTCCAGCCGCAGTGGCTCCTCAGTGTGAAGAAATTTCAGGACTGGTGATGTCAGCAACGCGACCTTGGTCTGTTTGGCGACCTTATCTTGCCTTGGTCCCCGATTCCACGTTTGATCCTTGCCAGCAGCTCGAATAACGGTGCTAACAAGATCGACATATTGGGCAAGATTTGGTGATAATACGTCGGGTAGAGGCCAAATAATGAAAGCCTCCGCATCGCTTCCTCTTCCTGCACATTGATAGTTTAGACCCATATTGTTGTAAAAAAAAACTATTTCCAAACTCCGCTTTAAAGTAGCGTTTTTGGGTAACGCTTCTCAAATTATGAGGCGCTGGAGAAAATCAGTCTTCTGGGTTGAGTCCTTGTTTCCAACTCTTTTTGTCCGCGTTCCGCCCATTCAAGCGCATGCTGGAAGGTCCTCAGCACACACCTCGTATCGCTGCGTAGCAGTTATCTTCCGAAGCATAAAGGCCCTCTGCTTTCATTACCGTCATCACGAAAACGAACGCCGAATGAATGATAGCAAGCACAGTTCCGCCGCGTGAAGCCAGCTACAGCTGATGCCATTTTCCGAACGTCGTCTACTAGACAAAGTTTAATAGTTTTGTAAAAAGCTGCCGCAGACTGTCGCCGGCTAAGCGGCGTGAACGCTGGCGCGGGGCGGTTGTTAAAACGCTCCCCAGTGATATACGCGCCGTCCGAATAGGTCATTAGGCTTTGATTGCCATGATGACGGCGATGAAAGCAGACGGCCTATATGCTGCGGAAGAACACTGCGGCGCATCAATACGAGGTGCTTGCTGAGGCGCTTCCCGCATGATTTTCAATGGTCGGAACGGGAACAAAAAGAGATCGAAATAAGCAGTTCACGCAGAAGGCTGGTTTTCTCCAGCGCCTCATAATTTGATCCGCCTTACTCGAAAAGCGTTTTCTTTTTTTCTTTCTGCCATTCCGCGTCTTCTGTTTTGATTTGTTTCCGTAACATGGGTCTAAAATATCAAACTGCCATTCTTCTTTCACGAATCGGCATCAGAGTCGGATCGCGCTAATCGGCCACTGGGCCCGAGCCCGGCCCTGGGCGCGCTGATGAAACACGAGCCCCAGCCTAGCACTTTCACAGCACTCGCGCACAATATCAGGCCTCGATCAATCTGACTGTGAGGACGGTGCGGAGGCCTTCTGCATGTATACACCTTTCCAAAAAACGCTCCTAGGCCGCCGCCGTGTTGTTGATGCTGATGCGGCTGGTGCGGCTCTCGCGCCCTCTATCAGCTAAACATTTTCTGCCACTCTCCTGGACTGTGAAGACCCGCTGAGCGCGGTTATCTACCTACGTTTTTGCGGTTTTGCACTCGACGTTTTCTCGCCCCTCATAAAAGTTTCCACTTAATTTTTTTTATGCGTGCTGCGTACCCTTTCTGTGTTATCTTCAATCGTGAGAAATAAGGGTGGTAAGTGCCTGCCATCCAAGCTTTTCTGCTTTACGTTCACGGGAAACGAAGGAGGTGAAAGACGTCGAACGACCGTCGACGCGATTTTGCGAACATTGTTCTCCCCCCTCTTATAGATAATCCGCCTAGAATCCTCAGTCGTCTCCGAAAATTGTTGGCCGGGTTGGGGTGGGAAACGGGTCAGCCGCGTTCGTTCCTTTGCCTTGATGTGGTTATGAAAAAAGGAAGCTCTCCCCAAAACCTGCCCCAAAACGAAGTCATTTCGGATTCCGTCCGATCGTCAAGACGTGACTGTTGTCGACTGTGACTGTTGTTATAGATCTTTCTAAAATGAATTATTTTCGGATAACGCTGCATCATGTGGTACGTACATATATTGTTCGAATGTTAACACTCTATAAATTATACGTCCGTGTCCTGTCCATCGGTAAACACGTTATTTGTGAGCGTGAAAAATGCATGCCTTTCGGCCCTCTTCTGTTGCAATTTATTTTTGACAACAAAGCGCTTTGTCGTTTCACATGCGGCGAATCCCGCGGCGCCGTCAAAACTTATCGTAAAAAAACACAAATGACTAGAACTATACATTCCAGTCGCCTTCGTTCTGTCGCGCGCGTACCCAACAAAATTAGTCTACAGTTTGTTTGTTTTTGCTTTTTGCTGATGTGGTACAATGCTTTCTCAATGTCCTCGGGAAAATACATGTACCATGAGGCAAAATATAGCGGGAAAAGACGAGAATTGAGCCGCCAGCAGCGTTTGAAACTGCGCCTACGCAGGCTGTGCCTATTGAAATCACAGTCCACACCGTTTAGGGTTAGGAGGGACGCAGGTGAGAGTCTAGCCTCAAACTCAGTGACTGGGCTCGAAAACGGTTTATTGCCCCTGGGATGGAATGTTTTTTTGGAAAGGTGTATATGTGGTGTTGTCTCGATAGACTCCGAATATCATTTTTAAAGTAAGGCTAGCCAAGCGCACAAACTACAAAATACGCGCAATTTCCTTTCGTCGCTGCAGGCTTTCCAACTTTGCTTTACGGTAAATATGTCACTACAGCTTTTTTTACTTTATCAGGGTTCTCAAAGT